TAAATATATTTATTTAATAATAATAAAAAACGTTAAGATAAGATTACTATGAAAGCAATTTATTTGCATTTTCAATTAGTATATGAAAATTCATCTATTTTTCAGCATTTCCAGGACCTGATTGCACCCTGCAGACATGTGATTCTCAAAGAAGTCCTATTTTAATATATAAATTTACTAATTTTGTCAAACAATGAGAAGTTTGCATTCTTACAGCAATAAAAGGATGGTAATTAATGACTGTGTTATTAAAATCCATGTGCTATTAAAATAGATAAAAGTTTAAAATTACATTAGGCTATAGGTAGATTAAAAACACCTATCATTACCTATTTGACCTAATATAAACCAAGTACACAATTTTTCAACAGGAAAGTAATTTAGTTAAAGTAAATGGTTAATTTGCAACTAATTATACCCAACACTGCTATTTCAATAAAATAATATTTTAAGAAAAAAAGCTGATAAAACATGGACTGTCATGAAATGTTCTCATGGCTAAAATTTGACCAGTCTGTCAAATCGATTGCACATTCCACCAGTAAGGCCAGAGTGTGCAGGTTTAATTACCAGAGTAAAAGCAGTTTTTCTTAAAATAGTGAAATGCACACAACATTATGGGTGACAAAATAGAAGAGGACAAAATATTATTGCATGTCTTGCTAGTGCACCTGTGACCAAGACACTAATTCTAAGGTGTATTAAGAGTGACAGTATACATAGTAAAGTCAGCATACCACCAAGAAGGAAGAATCACATCCAACAGGAGGAACTGTAAATGCAAGAGGTAGCTGTCTGAAAGGGATTTCCAGGTGCTAACTGTTCGTTGGGTTTTCCATGGGGTTATTATACATGGCCGGGCTGCTATAGCCAAACCTTTGGTCACTCGTGCAAATATCAAACGTTGATTACAATGGTGCCAGCAGCAAAAACTTTGGGCTTTGGACAATGTGAAACATGTACACCTTCATTGTCTTTCCTTCATCTAGAGAGTTACAGTGTGGAGAAGCCTCAAAGAATACTTTTGCATGCCCAGGTTTGGGCTGCAATATCATGGAATTTCCTAGGCTTAATACTTTTACTAGATGGCCGCATCACTGCCAAGAACTACTGAACTATTCTGGATACTATACATTGGTCAAATGTTGTATCCCAATGGCAATTCCGTGTATCAGAAGGAAAATGCACCAATGCACATAGCAAGACTGGTGACAGAGCGGTTTGATGAACGAGTAAGTGTTGTTGAACAAACCTATGACCTGCATGGTCACCAGAACTAAATATTATTTAGAAACGATTTCCTCCAAAAGCACAATGTAGTGACCGGGCCACTATTCTGCTCAAAATCCCTCTGGCCAATGTGCAGGACTTGTATCTGTCACTCCTAAGACAAACTGATGATGCATTGGCCACAAAAGGAAGCCTTACACCAAGGGTTACCAACCTTTTTGAAACTGAGAGCTACTTTTTGGGAACCGATTAATGTGAAGGGCTACCAGTTTGATGCACACTTAAATAACAAATTTGCTCAATTTACTTTTATATGTTATTATTATTAATTTATGATATTCATGTATGTGAAGACACTGATCGTGTCAATGATTTCTCACAGTAGTTGTCAACAATGATTTAACCAGGTAGGAAACAGATAAATATTAAAATGCAACATGTCCTTTGTCTAAATAGTTTTTTAAATACTGTATAACTTCGTCATTTTCAGTTTTACACCAATGCAAGTGTGATTTAAAAAGTATTTTATAGTAAAGTAAAAAAGGTAAAAATAGTACATTTTGATGCTCAGCTTTCTGGTAAACGGCACTGGTGAGCTATTTTTAAAACAGGCCTGTGGGCAACTCATGTCATCCTCGCGGGCTATCTAGTGTCCACGGGCACCATGTTGGTGACTCCTGCCCTACACCATACTAATTAATTATTGTGATTTAAAACAAGACATT